AATATGATTAAATTCACCAGTAAAGTTGAAAACATAGTTCCCCCACTCATTCTCTCCCTTTCAATTTATAAGAAAAGTAAGAATAAAAATACAAGTTTAACCTCCCTTTGACAGAAAGAAAATAAGACTGGGCAAAACAACATTAACCTCTCCACAGAGATCGAAAAGAATATTTCAGAATGCAAAGGTTAGGAAACATCTATCACAAAATGCTATTTGTTCAACACCAGATGGCACTCTGAGTTAGTCATAAATTTGTCTAGCGCAAGGCTTACAGACCTTACAGACCTGAGATCTTTAAAAAAGTAATTTGCTCACACTTCAAAAGAAAATATATTTGCTGGTCTTATTATTCCAAGTCTATTGGCCCAAAGACTTAAGAACACACATTTTATGGATATAGGAATGTTGTAGAAGGAAGGAAATATGCTTGGCAAAAAATAAAAAGCTTTTCAGATAAATATTTTCGTTAGAACATACTGGATGCTAATTCTTCAGTAAATTCAGGTGATAAACTTAACCACATTTTTAAACAGAAGTTCTCCTAGTCTATGGTATAGCTTTCATTTCCTTCATGAATACATCCAGGACATACTTACTCCAGGAATATCCTGCTCCCAATTCTTCCATATAGGTATGTAATACTATCTTGTTTTCCTTCCCCTGGACTTGGAGCATTTACATATATTTCAACTTGACACTTAAAAATTCTGAATAAATCCTTAAATAATCCTTTCCATTCTTACTATTTTGGCAGATATTCTACCCAACAAAGGTATTTTTTATTCCTTTAATTCTTGAATTCTTGCCTTCTGAGTATAAGAATTTCAAATAACATCAGACACCTCCATTTGCTACTGCTCTTATCCCTTCGTTTCTATAAAAAGACCAGATAGGTCCTTGTGGTTTAATACAAAATACATATTTGGGTTTTTAATTTCTTTTTTTAATTTTTAAGGTGTTTTTGTTTTTTTTTTAAGATTTAATTTTAAGTAATCTCTATACCGATTGTGGAGCTTGAACTCACAACCCCCAGTTCAAGAGCTGCACGCTCCACGATCTGAGCTAGCCAGGCACCACTATACTTGGATTTTTGGTCCCTGGCTCCTAAAACCTTTGGTATTTCCTTAGGGATTCAAGAGTGTTGTTATTCATAGCAAGTCTCTTTCCCTTGTACCTGTGTTTATGGTAATGAAGTGATTCTTGATGTCCCTTAGTTTCCAGGGAGGGGCTGGCTATGCTTAAGGAACTTTCTTTCAGTTCTCCCCCCATCCCCTATCCTTCACTCCTTAGGGGAGGGGAAGGCCCTGGTGATTGAGTTCAAGCACCAAGGGCAAATGATTTAATCAATCATGCCTAGCAATGACACTTTGATAAAAACTCCTGAATAACAAGGTTTGGGGGGAGCTTCCGAGTTGGTAACAACATTGATTTGCCGGCTGGGTGGTGTACCTGAAGAGAGTATGGAAGTTCTGCACCTAACCTTGTCTAACCTTGCCCTATGCATCTCTTCCATTTGCCTGTTCCTGAGTTGTAGCCTTCATAATAAAGCTGTAATTGTGAAGTATAGTATTTTCCCGAGTTTAATGAGTTTATCTAGCAAATTATTGAACCTGAGGGTAGGTCATGATAACACCCCAAATTGTAGTTGGCCAGGCAGAAGTGCAGGTAGTCTGGACACCCCATTTGTGGCGGGTGTCGAAGTAGAGGCAATTTTGTAGGACTGAACCCTTAACCTGTGGGGTCTGTACTAACTCCAGGTTGTCTGTGTTAGAATGGAATTGAACTGTAGAACACCCAGTTGATATGACAGCATTGGAAAATTGGTTGTTGTTTGCAAAAACAAACGGTCCTTCTTAAGCCTTCTTATGAAATCATAACATGTTGTAATTTTTGCACTTTTGTACTTGTAAAATGAGAAACTCTATAATGATAAAAGGCTTATAATAAATTGCAGTAATTATTTTTTAAAGATTTATTTATTTTAGAGGAGGGGAGGGGCAGACTCCCCACTGAGCGTGGATCCCAACGCAGGGCTGGATACCACAACCCATGAGATCATGACCTGAACAGAAACCAAGAGTCAGATGCCCAACTGACTGAGCCACCCAGGTGCCCTACAGTAATGGTTTTAAACTAATGTGATTTTAATTATAGCTGCAGTATATTTGGGAAACAGACATAAGGGAGAGACATTGTTTAGTCTAAAAGAATGCATGGGCACACATAAATTTGTTTTTACCTTTTCAGATGGGACTATTTAACAGTGATGCCAAAGTAAAAATATGACACATTTTTATGAACCATGAATTTTATACCTTGTTCAAAAAATTGGATAAAAGATAAGAGTTTTATCTCTTATAGGCAGGGACCTTGTCTGTATCCTGTGACCAGTGACTGACATTGTAAAGGATGAATGAAATAATACAGTAAAACAAAAACAGGAAATGAATATAACACAACATTCACAGAATTTTTAACATACCCAAGACTTAATGAAATATCAGGCTTTCTCCAGGCTAAATACTGTCATTGTGATAGGCTAAAAAAATGGTCCTTCCCCCAAAATATACAGGTCAAACTCCTGGAACTTGTGAATGTTACCTTATTTGGGAAACTGACTCTTTGCAGATACAATTTAGTGAAGGACCTTGAGATAAGAGCCTCCTGGATTATCCAGGTGTGGACTAAATCTCATCATCAGAGACAGAGGAGAAGGCAATGGGAAGATATGGGCAGAGAGTGAAGTGGTGTGGCCACAAGTCAAAGAAGCCAAGGATCACCTGAAGCCACCAGAAGGCGGAAGAAGAAGACAATGAGTTCTCCTTTATAGTAGCCTCTAGAAGGAACACGGCCCTGCCAGATTCTGGATTTGTAGTTTCCAGAACTGTGAGAAAATAAATTTCTGTTCTTTCAGATCTGTGGTAATTTGTTACAGCAGCCTTAGGATACAATAGCTAACCCTTGAGGGTTCAGAATCATGCTCTTTTTAGAAAAGTTTCTTTGAGGGAGAATTTATGAAGGTTCCCATGTGGCTAAGGTCCACAGGTTGGACCCAGTATGGAGGACCTCCCATAAGGGCCATTTCAAGTAGAAGATTTCATAATTTACTGATCTTAGCAGTGTTAAAACAAAACAAAACAAAACAAAACACAACAGGTCCAAAATGGAGTCACTTGTGCTAAACCCCTGTCACCAAACTGAGACTTAATACCTAACCTAATTGCAGTTTCAGCCTTTCCCAGGAATATAATGTTAATAGTTTAGTTGGGAATTTCCTGGTGAGAAGTAGTGAGGTAATCTGCTTGATAGATCTCTTTCTTCCTGAAAGATAGGTGACATTGCCTGAAATAATTCTTTCATTCGTTTATGATGTCCTTGTCCCACCTCCTCTGCCTTTTAAAACCTTCCATTTTGTACAGCATCGTAGAGCTCCTTGCTATTTGCTAGATGAGATGCTGCCCAATTTATGAATCATTGAATAAAGCCAGTTAGAGCTTCAAATTTACTCAGCTGGATTTTGTTTTTTAACAGTAGCTTTCAACCCTAGGCAGGGGATAAACCTATTTTGAGGTTAAAAAAAAAAAAAAAAAGTATGAGCTTTACTTGACAATTTAAGCAATAAAAAAACAAGTTGAAAGAATATCTAAAGATATGTCAATTTTTTTAAAAAGATTTTATGCATTTATTTGACAGAGAGAGAGCACAAGCAGGGGGATCAGCAGGCAGAGGGAGAGGGAGAAGCAGTCTCCCTTCTGAGCAGAGAGTCTGATGCAGGGCTCAATCCCAGGACCCTGGGACCATGATCCAGCAGAGGGCAGACGCCCAACCGGCTGAGCCACCCAGGCGCCCCAAGATATGTCAATTCTTTTAATTGATATCATGTTCAATCATGAAAAAAAAAGTATAGAACTCATAAGTCTGTATTTAATCATTTATTCTTGATGTACCTGTAAAAAAAAAACCCCATTGTGTTCACACCATACACTTAAGTGAACAGCCAGCAGGCATATTTATTTATTTTGTTAATGTACTATTATAGACATCACAATCATGACCAAGAATCAGCACTTCTGTAGCTACCCAATGAAGCCCAAAGAAATTGAAGGTTATGACTATATTATGCTTAATTCAGACATAACACTTTTGTTTGAAGTACTTTTTTTGGGGATCCCTTTTAAAAAATCTGTCCAGTGAATTCTGTGCTTAACATAGGCCTGTACTATATGAAAATTAAATTGTGACATGATTGTTTCACTTCATAATGGCCTTTATTTTGTAAAACTTTACAACAGTAAGGTAAAATTTCATTTCAAAACAAAAATAACAGAGTAAATTTCCTAAATAGCTATCTTTGATTCAAAACAAAACAAAACCCCACAACACTATAGAAAACATCTCTTAAATTTTAAAGTTAATTTTGCATTTATGAAGAATGACTTCACACCTTTTAGGGTATTTGTTTTTGCAACTAACTTTCATCCTTTTATGAAGTAATGAAACAACTCACTTGAAATTAGGGAAAAAAACCCGTCAGAAACAGACGTTCTAATTTTGTAATTTGGTAACACGAATCTTAAACAAAAAAAGTTGAATATGAAGGATCAAAAAAGGTCTGGCTTGTTCTAATAATTGTTCAGAATTTTAAAAATACCTTATTTGCCCTTTGCCCTTAACAAATAGATTTCAATGTCCTCAGTAAATAAAGATCTACCCCCCTCAAACAGTGACGCACAAAGGGCTATCATTACCACGAGTGGCACAATGTTGTCCTTAGCACTCAGCTATTTCCACAGCCATGGCAAAAACCCTCTGGGCTAGTTCAAGTTTTATTTTCTAATTTCATTTTTATTTATAAACACAAATTTTGTTTTCCTTGGAATGAATGTTTTACGTTGGATTACTTTTTTCTTTTAATTCTGGATGTAAAATCTAATAGTCCCACGATTTATATGGGTTCTGGATCAGCAGCCTAATTTTAAGATGACATAGGCTCTTACTTCACCGACAGAAACACCTGTCTGACCGGAAGTTGTGATGACGCTACCATCTTCATGTAAACATCCCAAGCATTTCGAGTCTTTCTTTCGGACATTTTTTCCTCTCCGTTTCGCCAGAATGTTGGCCACAGTCCCCACGCGCTGTTTCCGCGGGCCTGTGGGCCTTTATGAGCGTCCCTAATCCCTAAAGAAACAGGTGCAGGGCTGGGTCGAGCCCTCGAAGCCAGCAGGTGAGGCGTCGGCTTCGGCCTGGACCGCAGCTTAACCACACGCGTGCCGCACTCCCCCCGACTCCGCCCTGGGACCGCCGGGCGCCCGGTCGGGAGGACTCACGCGGCCGCGCCGAGGAGACCGGCGGCGGCTCGGGCAGCCCGGCGGGGCGGGGAGAGGCGGGCCGGGTCGGCCAGGGGCCGGGCGCGCGGAGGCACGGCCAGCCGGCGGAGGCGGGCTCTCTCGGGCCGCGGTTGCCGCCCTGTCCGCTCGCTGCCACCCCGGCGCTCGGATCATGTCTTGGCGTCGCGCGGCGCTGCTGGGGACAAGGCTGGTTCGGAGCGGGAGCAGTTCGGCGGGCCGGCTCGGTGGGGCAGCAGGAGCTGCGGCCTCTGGGTACGGGGTGCGGCGGGCAGGACACGGGGGGTGGGGGTTGGTGTGGCACGGAAGGGGAGTTCGGCGTGGCGCGGAGGCCTCGCAGGGGCTGGACGGAGCGGTGGGCGCGGGCGCTTCGGCGCTTCTTTCCCCGACGCCGGGTGGGCCCTGGGTCCAGTCAGCGGCGGGCCCTCGGAGGGCGGCGGGAGCTCAGGAAGGGTGGGGGGCGGGTGAATGATGCCTTAAGCGGTTGTGCCTTCTTACGGATCCTGTGATTCTTACGTCGAAAATACGCGAGTCGTGGTATTGGGGGGGCTTGGACCCTTCCCCCCCCGCCCCACCTAATAAATTGGGATTTCAGATAAACAGCGATTAATTTTCAGTCCTAGTGTATCTCAGATATTGCACGGATTATACTTAGACTAAACAGTTACTCCCTTTTTATGTGAAGTTCTAATGTAATAGAGCGTTCTGCATTTTTATTTTCTAAACCTGACAACCCTACCGCAGGAAGTGAAGGGGACGCTTCCTACTAAATGGCCCAGTCTTTGAGGATGGGGACTGTGACTTACTCTGGTAGATGTCACCTCTGGCTAGACCGAGGATTGCTTTCCCTGTGCTTCCCCGCTTCCAGTACCAGGCCTGCGGTGGAGGACCCACTGCCTGGGCTGATGCTGTGTCGCCCTCGGGCCCGAGTCTGTGTGCTCCATGGTGGTTCTCTGCCAGTTCGAATGTCTGTGCCTGCCACTGTGCATCCATCGCTCTGTCTGGGAGTCTCTTCCTTCCTACGTGGTTTGGTAACTCTGATCAGTTCTGCCAGACTGTAGGAACTGTTAATTATCTTTCTATTCTAATCTGGTGACCCACTCAGGAAGGTGCTGACCACGTGGTGTTACCTGTTTGACTGACAGGTCCTTGAGCCCCTGACGTGTTTTTCCAATGATGTGTATCCCTGGGGCATTGAGCATTTCGCCTACTTAGTATATAGGAGGCGCTCCATAAATCTGGCATGGCTAATGGGTACATCAGTGTTGAAGTGAAACTTTTCTTGTGCGCTTCTCTGTTGATGTCTCTTTCCTTACTAGGTAACAACTTTTGCCAAGCTCAACCAGAATTGAAGGAGAAAGGTGCTTTCCAGAAACTTTTTCTTTCATTTGGGAGGTTGGGGGGTGATATTTCAGATGCACCTCCTACCTCCTCTCACTGCCCAAGATAACTTGGGGATGAAGGTTCTACTGGAACTCCTGCTTCAATAGTAAATATTGTGGTAGATGGTTTGGGGATGACGGTTAGATGTTGGACCAGAGATGAAAAGGACTTGTTTTCTTAGTTGATAAACCAAATAGGCTGCTGATTTATCACACCGAAAAAAGTTCTTGGGTCCAGGCCGTGCCGATTAACATTTTGTTTGTTTGTTTACGCTCCAGGAACTCAACCTGCTTTTTTCTTAACGCAGCTTCTGCCCTCCGCCTAAGTTGCTTGCAGTCTCCCAAGCATGCTACTCCTAACCCCTTCCTAAGTACACAGGCCCTTTTTGTTTTGAAGATTTCCTTATCGACTATTGGGAAGTAAGGAATAATAGATTGTAAACACTGGGGAGTTCTAATGTTATAATGTTCCCTTGGAGTAGTTCCTGCCTCTAACTCTAATTACTGAAGGTGATGTTTGTTACAGCATCCTTATTCTAAGTGTGTGGGCATGGCTGTGTAGATCAGCCACTCATCATCCAAGGATAAAATGTAAAAAATCCTTTTAACTTTTTTTTTTTAAGTAAGTTCTACACCCAATGTGGGGCTCAAATTCATAGCCCCGAGATCAAGAGTCACATGCTCTACCAACTATGGCCAGCTAGGTGCCCCCAACATTTAAATTTTAAATGCACTCAAAATGAATGAATGAAGTGTTTGCAAGGAAAAGTTTTTCTATCAAAACTTGAATTTGGAACATAATCATAAGGAGACTATTTTTGGAAATATTTGAAACTTCAATTCTTTATCTTATTCTCTTAATCTTTAGATATTCAAGAAATTCTCTTTTGAAGCCCATATTATTCTGATTCTTTTCTAAGATTTGTAATTTTGCTCTAACTAGTTTGCATCAGGATGCTGTATATGGTTTGAACATTGCAATAGGGCCTGGCTGATCAAGAAAGATAAAGTGGATGGGGAAAAGCTCTAGGGGTAGGCAGAGAGATTCGATGATATAAAACTGGTCAATATTTTAGTGAATATATTCCTGTTACAATGAATGCCTCCTTTTACAAGCTCCCAACAGCTGGGGTTTAGATAATACATACCTACAGGGTCCCTGTAATCAGGAAATTATACTAACAGTGTTAAACGTTATTGAACATTTACTGTGATCAAGGCACTGTTTTGCTTTCTATCAATTCATTTAATCTTCATAAAACCCTTTGAGGTGGGTGTGACTATTATTCCTACTTTACAGATTGGGAAACTTAGAGCTATGAATGTTGTGGTTGACATACCTTAGTTTCCTTAAAATCTTTGAATTTTTGTAGGTTCTCTGTGTCACAGCGTGTTCATGGAGATTTGGCATATTTTAATACGAAAATGGAAACTTTTTTTAAACTAATGGTCAGGTTAAGGTCAGTCATTAGGACAGTCTATTCAAGATTTGGTGTTCGGAAATAAGAGTGTGCCAGGCTTTAAACACAGTAAATGTGGTTTTACCAAATAAGGACATTGGGAGGCTAGAGAAGCATACAGTCCCTTTTGGTTATTTTTGTACTAATAATAAGTAAAACTTTTTTCTGTTTCATAGGTTTGGATATATATTTGCATATCAGGTTTTCTTCAAATGGATCTCATTTGCTATATTATCATTAATGATTATTTTTAATGTTTAAAGCTGCACTGCCTTTTAAAATTCTTTTTAGGATGGGGAACAGCACATCATCATCTTTGGGGAAGTCAGCAACTGTTCCTGTGAATCAGATTCAAGTGAGTGATGTGGGAGACGTAGGAGAAACCTTTCCTCTGTAGAAAAAGAATTGTGTTTTACACATTTAATATGCTTATTCATTATCCAGCCTGACGTAGTTCAGCAAATGAATTACTAAATGTATACTTTAAAATCTGCTATCAAAATAATCCATGTGACAGAAAAGTTCTAGATCATATTGGCAGTCAAAATTTATGAGATTTATTATTTTTTTTTTTACTTTTTTTTTTTTTAAACTTTTTATTTATTTATTCATGAGAGACACAGAGAGAGAGGCAGAGGGAGAAGCAGGCTCCCAAGGAGCAGGGAGCCCGATGCGGGACTCGATCCCAGGACCCTGGGATCATGACCTGAGCCGAAGGCAGATGCTTAACCATCTGAGCCACCCAGGCGCCCGAGATTTATTATTAATGGAGTCTTTACTCCCTCTAAGTTGGGTCTGTGAGGTTAGCTCTTCCTTTCCCTCAGACCTACCTCAGGTCTCCTGTTGATACCAGTCAAGCTGCTCTTAGCCAGGGATGCTGTTTGATGTTGGCCTGGGAAGCTGCTTAACAGCTTTCTCCCCTAACACAGAACTTAGTATGCTATAGTTACTCTATAAATGATCCTCTCAGGATCAAAAATAGGTCAAAAATAGACCAACTTGCAGACCATGCGCTGCTGGGTACTCTTTTCCTCTCTTTCACTGCAAAACCCAGTTCATTCTGCCTCAGAAAAACTCTCGTATGTTTTTCTTCCCTTGCAGTCTACAAGACATACTCATGTTTTCTTTTCTCTGTTCTTCATCACCAACCACCACCACATGTATAACATTTCTGCCTTTATTTGGCTAAGAAAGTATTTACTCACAGCTGATGAAAGTAACAGCAATGCTAGAAACCTGTTGTGAGGGAATTCCTTTTTAAAACAAGAATACAAAATGATGAAAATTTAGCAAGGTTGAGCTCGAGAGAAGGTGAGAAGGATTGTTCGAGATACTCTGGCACTGTCATCTTGAGTTTCAACTCACTCTGGAATCTCTTCATCAGTGTTTTTACTGCATATCAGCACCCGGGATGCTCAGCTCTCTCTACACGATGGTCTCAGTGTGCCTATAACCTGAGAGGTGGCATGGTGGAGGAAAGAGCGCTGGCTTTGGTGTTGGGACAGGTTGGGTTAAATCCTAGTGTTGTGAACTTCTCAGCCTCAATTTTCTCATCTATAAAATGGACTCATTCATACATCTCTGGTATGGCTGGCTTTCTCCGAGACAGACTTCTATACTGAATATTATGAGTAATTAGAAGAGAAAGCATAAAAATAGACCAACTTGCAGACAGCTAGACTGTGCCTTAAAACCCTTCTGACACCCAAGGATGGATGTAACTTTAGAATTACTTTGCCTGGGTACTCTACTTTCTGATTTTTGGCTTTCATCTTGAAGGTGTTGCTTATGACCCACATAAAACAACTTAAGACAGATGCTTGGGTGCTACTTATCTATTCAGAATCTCTTGAAGGACCTGGACATTCATATATTTAGAAACAAAAAAGAAAACAAATTTTACAAGCAATGCAGATGCATAGCAAAATCATAGTCTTTGTGATAAAGGCCTGGAGAATAGTTTCCAAACCGGGTTGATACTAGAATCATCTGGGAAGTTAAAAAAAAAAAAAAAGTTTCTGACTTCTGCCTGAAACCACCCCCCCTTTTTTTTAAAGATTTTATTTGTTTATTTGAGACACAGAGATACAGAGAGAGAGGGGACACAAGCAGGGGGAGTGGGAGAAGCAGGCTTCCTGCTGAGCAGGGAGCCCGCGGTAGGGCTCGATCCCGGGACCCTGGGGTCATGACCTGAGCCGAAGGCAGACACTTAACCATCTGAGCCACCCAGGCGTCCTGCCTGAAATCCTTTGAATCAGCATTTCTGGTAGTAGCTTTTCCAGGAACAACAATATTAGAATGCCTTAGCAATACTGTAGTGACAATGACAGTTTTTTTTAACTATAAAGATATATAGGAAGTAGTGGAAGTTGAGGGGGTAAGCTGTTGTCTTTTTTTTGATCAGTGACAGCCTTACATGTTAAATGGAAATCATATATCAGTCCTCACCATTAAAAAGTTAAGGAAGGTAAGGAGTTAACTCCTAAACACCTACTGAGTATTTAAGAGGCAGTGTAACAGAGTTTAAGTGCCTGGACTGTAGAATCAGACTTGCCTGGGCTCAAATCTCAGCTTTCCAGTTCTTATTAGGACTATGAGTAAGTCACTTATTTTCTTATGTGTCTCACTTCCCCATTTGTAGAGTAGAGATAATAATAAGACCTATCTCAGGATTATAGTGAGGTTTACATGAGCTAGTAAAGGTCAGATGTGAAGAATTGTGTCTGGCACACAGAGATGTTTGCTGTATATGAATTGACTGTGATTATTGTTACCACTTAATGCCAACTTTGCATCTGTTATATCCTTTTTTCCTAAAAACATCCCTTTTAAATGAATAATAATATTCTTAATCTGCAAATGAGAAAATAGCTGATGGAGACTTAGTTTGAACACTGAATCATGAGACTCCAGAATCCATCCTGTTTCCACTATAATAATAATTTCTTTCCAGAAGGTAATGTCTAGAATTAAAAAAAAAATTTTGTTTGTTTGTTTGACTTCAGGAAACAATTTCTGATAATTGTGTGGTAAAAAAAAAAAAAACATCTTGTTCTTACTGTACAATGGCAAAAAAACTTTTCCATGACATGAATGTTAAGTATAAAGTGGTGGAATTGGACATGCTTGAATATGGAAGTCAATTTCAAGATGCTCTCTACAAAATGACTGGTGAAAAAACTGTAAGTGTATCCTCTATGGTGCTTTTCCTCCAAATAGGTGGTACCTGGGTCACGTAGAGCCTAGACGCTTATGTAAAGGGAGCCAGGCATTCTCTCTGTCTCATCCTCTGAGAATCTTTTTTGGATAAAGAAATGGCAGATCTGGGAACAAAATTCAGAGACTGGGAAACAGCAGAATTCATTCATTTTATTTTTATTCTTGCCATATGTGTGTGCGTGCGTGTATGTGTGTGTTTTGACTAGGAGAGTGGGGTGATGGTGTTGTCATGGGTGCTGGTCTGTGAATCTTTAAGATCCTCCTGTAGCTCTTCTCAAGATGAAATCCTTCCTCCCTTTACTTCAATAGTACAGACCATGGGTCAGTCTTCAGTTACTGTGCTAATAGGAGTGCTTTAGTTTTTCATGTTTTTAGATTCCTGAAATTTGTCCAACCATATGCATTTTTTCAGTGAAATGCATTATCGGGAAAATATATAATGTTGCCATTTTCCTTCTTGTTTTAATGTGCATGGAAGATGTTTATAAACAATAATTACAGACTGTGTTATTTTACCTTTTATATGCCGTAGCAATTAGAAGGAAAGGCTTGAGTGTCAGATTGCCCTGGATTTAAATCCTACCTCTGTCATTTGCTGTCATTGTGATTTTGGACAAGTTCCTGTGCCTCATTTCTCTCCAAAATAAGGCTAAAATTAGTACCTACCTCAAGGGTTGTAAAGATTTAAGTACTTTGTGAAAGAGCTTAGTCTGGTGCCTGGCCCATAAAAGTACCCAGAGTATGAGCATCTATTACTATTATGTGAAAGGTCTTAATACTTCTGACAATAGAGTGACAGCTAATCTTTTGTTTATCCAACAGGTACCAAGAATATTTATCAATGGAACTTTTATTGGAGGTGCAACTGACACTCATAGGCTTCACAAAGAAGGGAAATTGCTTCCACTAGTTCATCAGTGTTATTTAAAAAAAAAGTAAGAGGAAAGAATTTTAGTTATGTAGGTGCTTATAACCTTGCTAGTAAAATGTCAGTGATTGAAAGTGATAATGCCTTTTAAATGTTTGAGGATGTTTTAAATATGTAAATTATCTTGCTGAAAAAGTTGTAAAACTAATAATAAATTGCTGTGGAAATCTCTTCTTCCTACTTGCCAATTCTTGACCAAAGGAGATGATATTTAAAACTACAGGAGTGAAATTGTATCAAAAGATAAGGAAAGAATGTTTTATTAATAATTCATATATGAATTTCACAACCACGAGCTAGAAGGTAAGCATTTGGGATTATTTATTCTGTGTAATATTCAGAAGGAGTTGACTCCTTACCATATTTTATGGCTTTTAGTGGTGAGGACTGATTTGTGATTTCTCTTTAAAATGGAAGGTTCTCCCAGATGTAGTTGTCAACTCAGTAGGGATATCCTTGTACTGTATTGTGACAAATCTTCACACTTTGTACTTCTAGAGTAAGAGAAGTATATTAAATTTGTAGGATGGAATGAAATTTATTTCAGAGGAACCAAATCACTCCTTTAATGTCTTAGGAGTTCCAGAGAATGGAACTGTACGTAAGGGGCAGAAATTAAAAGGAGGAAGATTTCAGCATTGTATGAAGATGAACTTTTGAAATAGTTCAGAAATGTACTTGAATTTTATCGTGAGGTGGAAAGTTCTGCTTTCCAAAATGTGTCGAAAGGCTGTTGGAAACATTCCATAAGAGATCCAAGTATTGGGTGGGAGGTTAGACTGTCTAATAAAGTTAATTTCTGATGTAGATATTCTTCAATTCTGTGACTGATTCAAACTGATCTTATTTCAGATAAACTTAGCAAACAAGATTTATTCTATAGGAAGTCTTATTTTAGAATAATTAAAAACAGGGGCGCCTGGGTGTCTTGGTTAAGCGTCTGCCTTCGGCTCGGGTCATGATCCCGGGGTCCTGGGATCGAGTCCTGCTTTGGGCTCCCTGCTCAGTGGGGGGCCTGCTTCTCCCTCTTCCTCTGCTGCTCCCCCTGCTTGTGCTTTCTCACTCTGTCAAATAAATAAATAAAATCTTAAAAAAATAGATTAAAAATATTTTGGATACTTGATTAATCACATCCCTATTTCAAACTTGTTATCAACAAGAATTTTTTAAGTGCACTTTCTAGGAAGCATTTTCCTAGCTGATCCCACAGAGTCACTAGGGCAGATTGCCAGATGCTAGGAAGAGAAAACTTCCTCAAAGGTGGGAGGACAATGCATTTTAAGTGAAGTGCTTCTGCTTTCTGGTTAAGATGGACCAAGGAATCGGGGACAGTTCTGCAGGAGACAGCTGGTGGCTTTTTTGGCCATATGCCATCAGTGATGCTTTATACATGGATTTATTAAACTGCCATTAGGAGACCTTGATAAAGCAAGAATTTGAATTATTTCATTCTCATGTGGTAAATTAGAACACTGGAATGGAACAGAATGGCATGTCCTTTAGTCCTTTATTTTGCATTGTGCCAACGAGAAATTTTAGATGCTTGCTATGATCTCTTCCATCTGGATGTTCCTCCTATGTCCTTTTATAATAAACTTGTAATCTAGTAAGTAAAATGTTTCTCTGAGATTGTGAGCCATTCTAGCAAATCAGTCATTGCAGGGTCCTTGGAACCCTTAATCTATAGCTGGTCAGTCAGAGTAACAGGTGACAACCTGGATTTCAGATTGGTGCCTGAAGCAGTGTTTGAGGGGCAGTCTTGTAGGACTGACCAGGTGCCCTGACATGCCCATCCCCGATAACCAATACTTACTTACTTTTAACTGAAAGGAGCTAGTTACAAAGCCTAGGGTTAAGGGGGAGGGATTTGGATAGGGACTAAACAAACCACCAAATCCTCAGTGCAAGAAAATCATCCCTAGTACTTAAACAGTGATTAATACATATTAGATCAAGACAGAAAAGTGTTCAAAACACAGATCACACACTTAACTACCTACCAGTAGGTAGGTGAATCTCTTGGAACGATAAATTCCTTTTTATAAAATACAGATACCATCTTCCTTAGTGTTTATTTTGGGAAATGGAAATAATGTAAATCACACCGCATGGTGCTTAGTATGGACAGTAGACTTTTCAGTATGTAATGGCTGTTATAATCACAATGGCTCAGAAGTATGTATGGTTTTCTTGTGGACCCATCAGGATTTTCCAGCATCCTAGTTAAGATTTTAGAGGGGTAGATTTCCATTACTTCTCTATTCGCATGTCTTAGCTTGGGCTCTTACAGCAAATTACCATAGACTGGATGGTTTAGACAAGAAATATCTATTTCTCAAACTTCTGGAGGCTGGGAAGGCCAAGATCAGGGTGCCCACTAATTTGGTTTTTGGTGTGAACCCGCTTCCTGGTTTGCAGATGGCCATCTTCTGTGTCTCCACGTGGCAGCAGAGAGAGAAAGCAAGCCCTGTTGTCTCTTCTTACAAAGGCACTAAACCATCACGGGGCTCCACCCTCACAACCTAATTACCTTCCTAATGGCCCCATCATCAAATACCATCACACTAGAAATCAGGGTTTAACATACAAACTTTCGGGAGACAATTTACTCCATAACCCTGTATCTTACAGCTTGATAAAAGTATAATACAGATCTAAGGCAAAACTAGGTGTAAGTTGTCTCAGCAGCTGTTTTTCTAGAACCAAAGGCTAGAAAGAAGAGAATGGTGATGTTTAAGAAAAGGTAATATTACCTTTTTTTTCAGTCTATTTAATTTTTAATGTTGAGATTTGGAAGATAAACTGTTTATTGTAGCCTACTAATATTAAAAAATGGATCGTTTCTCATTTAATCACTAATCATTTTATCCTTGAATTGACAAAATAATAGGGAAGCTAAAAAGCTGTTGAGAAAAAAATTGGTCTTTTGTCCTAAATGGATCTGGATTGTTTACTAATATTAAAAATACTATTTGAACAATAGTTTTAAAGTCACGTCTTCTTGATAAGGTTTAATATTGTTAAATGTTTTTTTAAACTTTTTTTTGTTTAAGATTTTATTTATTTGAGAGAGAGAGAATGAGAGAGAGCACGAGAGGGAAGAGGGTCAGAGGGAGAAGCAGACTCCCTGCTGAGCAGGGAGCCCGACGTGGGACTCGATCCCAGGACTGCAGGATCATGACCTGAGCCGAAGGCAGTCACTTAACCAACTGAGCCACCAGGCGCCCTGTTTTTTTAAACTTTTTAAAAAAAAAAATTGAGAGAGAGTAAGCGGAGGGAGGGGCAGGAGATAGAATCCTGAAGCAGACTCCCTATTGAGCAGGGAGCCCAGCGTGGGGCTCGATCCGAGGACCCTGAGATCATGACCTGAGCCGAAATCAAGAGTGGGCCGCTTAACCAACTGAGCCACCCGGGCACCCCCTATTGTTAAACATTTTTTAAGTCTAGTTTTCTTCATCCATGAAGAAATGCATAATTTGTGATCTTACTTTCTCCATACAACTGCTGTCATCTTTAAATAGAGAACTATAAGATCAACCAAATGTTCAAAGTTTTGGTAGGTATATTCTGATGTAACTTGCTTTTACTCTTTTGTATAACCTATATGCTCAGATCTTAGAGGTTTTTGTAAGTTTTATGGGAGTTCAGAGAGAAAAGAGAAACGTCTGCATTGGCACTAAAACTTTTTGTTTACATAATTGATTTTTGGTGTTAACATCACTTCCCAAAGGTAACTTTTGAGTAATTTCTTCACAAAAGAATCCTGTTATAAAACTCTTCAAAAATGTGATTTTGGTTAAATCCAGAAATCCACTGGGAGAGATTCTTCAACCACATGTATTTTTTTTTAAAAAAGATTTTATTTATTTATTTGACAGAGAAAGACACAGCGAGAGAGGGTTTTTTTTTAGGGGGAATGGGAGAGGGAGAAGCAGGCTTCCTGCAGAGCAGGGGGCCGGATGTGGGGCTCGATCACAGGACCCTGGGACCACGACCTGAGGCAAAGGCAGAGGCTTAACAACTGAACCACCCAGGCGCCACACATGTATTTTAAATATATATAACTAGAAGGCATTATAAGGCTAATGTTAATTATCAAACTAATTTTGGGCGCCTGGGTGGCTCAGTCGTTAAGCGTCTGCCTTCAGCTCAGGTCATGATCCCAGGGTCCTGGGATCGAGTCCCACATCGGGCTCCCTGCTCAGCGGGAGGCCTGCTTCTCCCTCTCCCATTCCCCCTGCTTGTGTTTCCTCTCTCGCTGTGTCTCTCTCTGTCAAATAAATAAAGAGTCTTTAAAAAAAAAAATTATCAAACTAATGTCATCTTATTGAAATATTAGATTACTAAGAGCCTTAGATTTTATAAGGCATATTATAACCTTAAAATTCTTATTTCTTTAAAGAAACGAAGACCATTATTTGATGTGCATAGAGTTTATTTGGTGTATCTATCAATTTCTACAATAATACAATTGACCAGAAGCAGTTCCCATAATGTGCATCTGCACCCCATGTCTACAGTGATGTATTCAGTATGGTATTTTGCAAGGCTAGAAAAGGAGAGAAAGTCAAGATTTCACAGTATTGGTGAAAACTTTTATCATGAAATAAATTTAATTCATTAGTATTTCATCCATTTTCTACCAGAAAACATCAAAATTACATTGTTAAGTATATTATTTACAGTGAAAACATGGAAGACTCAACAAAGCATCAGTAAGTTTATCAACAGACCTAAGAACCCCCCCTTTTTCAGGGTCCCTTCCTTTGAAATGAAACTCGTATAAATAAAACTTTGTATCCTTAAGCACCAGCTTGACAATTTAAAGTTTTCTTTCAGTTTTATAAAATATTCCTCCTTTGAAAGGCAACGTGAATGTAAAAATGTGAATGTAATAAATGACTGGCCTGGTTTTTATTGCAACAATCACAATGTTTTACAACTATATTCACTTCTTTGAATGAATTTGCTTATAGATTTTAAACAAAGTATTTGCCTTTTGTCTTGAAAAATTCCCTCAAAAAAGTAATCATTTTTGAAACTGTACAACTGTGTTTTTCATTCATAGTGTTTAAATATGCAGCTTGGTCCTTGGAGATTATATTACACAAAGTCCAGCTTCTTGGATAACTTGTTATACCAAACAAAAAAACAAACTACCACAAAATATTA